TAAAATGACAACAAACTTACAACTATCAACAACTGAACCTAAAAAACAAGACAAAAACAAACTAAGCAAACAACTAGAACAGGAACAGAATCACAGAATTTGAGATCACAGGGAGGGTTATCAGCTGGAAGGGGAAGGGAAGAAAGGAGGAAAAAGTACAGGGGATAAGAATCATAAATGGTAGGTACAAAATAGACAGAGGGAGGTTAAGAATAGTGTAGGAAGTGGAGAAGCCAAAGAACTTACATGTATGACCCATGGACAAGAACTAAGGTGGGGGAATGAGGGTGGAGGGGGTGGGTGAAGGGCAGAGGGGCATAAAGGAGAGAAAAAAATTGGACAATTGTAATAGCCTAGTCAATAAAATATATTTATACAAATAAAAAATTCTACTTATAGAGTTCATATGTAAATGATTTCATACAGTATTTGTCTTTCTCTGTCTGGCTTATTTCACTTAGCATAATGCCCTACAGGTTTAACTATCCTGCTACAAATGACAGGATTTTTTTTCTTTTTGAAGACTGAATAATATCCATACATATATATGCCACATTTTCTTTATGCAATCATGCCATCAACAGACATTTAGGTTGTTTCTGTACTTTGGCTGTTGGGAATAATGCTTCAATGAAGATAGGGTGCAGATATCCTCTTGGAGAAAATAATTTCATTTTCTTTAGATACATAGCCAGAAGTAAAATTGCTGAATAATATGGTAGTTCCATTTTTAATTTTTTGAGAAACCTCCATACTGTGTTCAAGAGTGGCTGTACCAGTTTACATTCCCATCAACAGTGCATGAGGGTTCTCTTCTCCACCTTTTTGCCACCACTTTTTATCTTGCCTTTTGGATGATAGCTATTCTAGCAGGTATGAGGTGGTGTCTCTTTGCGCCCTTGATTTGCATTTCCTTGATGAGTAGTGATGATGAACACCCTTTCACATCCTTTTGTCATTTGTGTATCTTCTTTGGAAAATGCCAGTTTAAGTCCTTTGCTTGTTTTTAATTGGGTTATTTGCTATTGAAATTATATGAGTTTCTTATATATTTTGTATATTAACCCCTTATCAGATATGTGGTTTGCAAATATTTTCTTTTATTTTGTCTCTTGGCTTTTAATTTTGTTGCTTATTTCTTTTGCTGTGCAGAAGCTTTTTAGTTTGACGTACTTCCACGTGTTTATTTTTGCTTTTGTTGCTTTTGTTTTGGTGTCAATTAAAAACAAATCATTGCCAAGACAGATGTCAAGAAACTTAGCCCTTGTGTTTTTTTCTAGGAGTCTTATGATTTCAGGTCTCAGGTTCAAGTCTCTAATTCATTCTGATGTTTGTGTGTGATATGAGATAAGATAGAGGTCCAGTTTCATTCTTTTGCATGTGGCTTTCCAAGTTTCTCAGCCCCATTTATTAAAAGACTGTCTTGTACCAATGGTAAATTCTTGTTTGTTTGTTTTTTTGTCATATATTAAATGATCATATGCATGTGGATTTGTTTCTAGGCTCTTGATTCTGTTTCATAAATCTCTATGTCTGTATTATGTCAATACCATAGTGTTTTGATATAGCTTCGTGATCTGGTTTGAAATCAGGAAGTGTAAGGTCTCCAGCTTTGTTTTTGTTTTGGAGATTGCTTTGGCAACTTGGGGTCTCTTTTTCCATACAAATTTTAGGATTGTTTCTTCTCTTTCTGTGAAAAATGCTGTAGCAATTTTGATGGGGATTGCATTGAATCTATAGATCATTTTGGGTAGAACAAACATTTTCACAATATTAATTCTTCTAATTCATGAACACGGAATAGCTTTCATTTATTTTATTTTTTTCAGAGAGAGCAGAAGGGAGGGAGAACAGGAAATGCTGATATGAGAGAGAAAGATCGATTGGTTGCCTCTCATCTGCGCCCCAACCAGGGACCTAACTGGCAACCTAAGCATGTGCCCTGACCGAGGAATCGAACCAGTGACCTTTAGCTTTGCAGGATGACACCCAACCAACTGAGCCACACCAGTCAGGGTAGCTTTCCATTTATTTGTATCTTCAATTTGTTTTATCAATGTCTTACTGTTATCAGTGTACAGGTCTTTTCCTCCTTGGTTAAATTTATTCCTAAATACTATTTTTAAATGATACTGTAAATGGATTGTTTTCTTGTCTTTTTGATAGTTCAATATATAGAAATATAATAGATTTCTGAATATTGATTTTTATATCCTGCAGCTTTAATGAATTTGTTCATTAGTTCTAATAGTTTTTTGTCATCTTTAGGGTTTTCTATATACTAAGGGGGACCCAAAAAAACCCTGGAACTTATAAAAAATTTTGTATTTACTCTTACATATTTAAACTTTAGTCACCTTCAAACTCCATTTGATGCAATATATCTATCAAGACATTTTTCCCACTGCTCAAAACAGTGTTTGAAATCATCAATTTTGATGCCTGTTAGTGCTTCTGTTTTTTGTTTCACCTCTTCCATGTAGGCAAAACATTTCCCTTTGAGGACTCTTTTCATCTGAGGAAACAAAAGAAGTTGTTTGAGGGGATATCAGGTGAATAGGGAGGGTGGGGCACTGAGGTCATGACATTTTTGGTCAAAAACTTAACACTCAGTGTAGTGTGGGCAGGTGCACTTGTAAATCACTCACCATGAAATGGGGCAAACATGTTGAGTCTTCAAAATAAAAATTTACTGAGACCAAACGCAGCCTGTTACACCATCTGGTATGCTGGCTGATACAGATGGGTTCCTAGAACGCTCACCTAGCAGGGGAAGCCTGTACTATTGATACAGGGAGCCCACCCTCCTGAAGATAATTCTGATTTTTGGTTTTTTAGAACCCCCCTCATACAGTGTCATGTCATCTGCACATAGTGAGTTTTCCTTTCTGATTTGGATGCATGTTACTTCTTTTTCTTGCCTTGTTCCTCTGGCTAGAACTTCTAATACTATACTGAATAAAAGTGGTGAAAGTGGGCATCACCGTCTTGTTCCTGATCTTAGAGGAAAGGTTCTTAGCATTTCACTGTTGAATATAATGTTCACTGTGCATTTGTCACACATGGGCTTTATTATGTCGTGGTACATTCCCTCTGTACCCACTTTGTCAAGAGGTGAGACATTCTGTATCCTAAATAATGCATCCAGAAAAGATCGACGATTGAGTGTGTGAGCTCAGATTCTATTTCTATAGCAGACATCAGGATATATATGATCTGCTTTACATATTCCAAAGGGGCCATTAATTGGGATCCTCAGGATGTCATGGCTAATTAAGTCAAACCAAGGATTTTATGGCATTCCTTACTCTAATGTAGCTATAAAAGTAAGACAATCATAAAGTCCTAGTTTTAAACGGCAGAGTAAATTTACACGAAATTTCATACCCGTGCCTCTCCTTCCTGTCTGGTATTTGGTGCTTTCATTTGCAAAAGATAAATCCATGCCAAGAATTCAACTGGACACCACCTACAACTACTTCAACCTTAGCGTGTACCTTGAGGGTGGGAAACCAGCTTTCCGTGGCAATCTTGCATGGCCAATTCACATAAATTTCACATTTATAAACATGGTCTTTCTCTAAAGCTGGCAATAGGGTTAGTAAAATTCAGGAGCAGGTAGAGCTTGAGAAACATATTGTAAACCTACTATTTAACACAAACTGTCAAACTTAAAGTCGGCCAAATTGTTTTTAGAAGCTATGCAGAAGATGGAGTAAAAATAAGCATTGTAGGGAGCGTGAAAGATTGTTCTGTGGAATCAGAATCCATCACCAAGGTCAGAAAATGAGCATTTTTGACTAAGTTTGAGTGAGTAGAGGATCTCATAAAAATGCTTTAGGGGAACACTCTGAATTTGAATACGAAATTATGCTGCACACGTGGTAACAATAATTGTCACACGCTGAGTGCTTTGCACGTGGGCTGGGGCACCAGGCATTAGGCAGGTATCTCCATTTTACAGAGAAAACTGAGACTAGTGTGGACAAGCAAGTATGTGGCAGAGTTCGGATTAAATTTTTAAAATTCTGATTGAAAAACTCAAGTTCTCTTATACCACCCACAGTGCTTCTCTGTATCTTCAGAGAAGTCTCTAAGTCATTGATACCTTCAATGTGATGATGCTCCCAGGGTCTAAGGGTGCAAGTGGGAGTGGGGGATGGGGGCAACTGGTCCCCCGTTGTGGTGCTTTTCCAGTTTGCCTGTCAGAGTGTTTTTTAGTTGCCCCCCTGGTGGCTGTTCTTGTGCTTGTACTCCATTCACTGCCTTAATGGGAATCTTCCAGGGCCTTAGGGACTAAACAATTAAACCAGTTACAACTGCATGTAAAGTAAATAGGCTGGAAAGGCTAGGCCGTAAGGAAAGCATCAAGAGCACAGCTTCCCTGACTTCCATTTTCTATTGTGGGGCCCTGATTAAACACCTCTTAAATTTTATGTTGAGTCCCTAAATTCCACTTTCATGTTAAAGCAACCTGGTTAAATGCCTGCATTTTATGTTGTATCCAGACAGATGAATGAGCGCACTGGTTAACTACATTCCAAGTGAGGTAGGCATGATAACACTTTCACTGAAATAAGACTAAGACACACACGCATATGATTTTATATTGATTCTGACCTACCACACTTAAAGTTCCTGCCAGATTATAATTTTATGCCTGAAGAAAAGAAATATTTTATTTTTTAAAGAGTTATTTATTTTTAGAGAGAGAGGAAGGGTAGGAGAAAGAGTGGGAGAGAAACATCAATGTGTGGTTGTTTCTGGCATGCACCCTACTGGGGACCTGGCCTGCAACCCAAGCATGTGTCCTGACTGGGAATCAAACCAGTGACCCTTTGGTTCACAGGCTAGCACTCAAGCCACTGAGCCACACCAGCCAGGGCTGAAAAGAAATATTTTAAATACCAATTGAACATTTGTATATGTTGATTGCTAATTTTTTTCTATAATGGAATGTTTGGTTCACCCACTGCAAAACTCTTTGCTACACATTTCCATAGACTTGTCAGTAATAAATCCTTCTTTATTAAGAGAATAATGGATGTAACTTTGGATGAGTTTTAATGTTCCCAAGGGTGTTAAAATGAGGCCATGTGGTATAGTAGGCTGACTTGGTCTGTGCAGGCTGCTGTAACAGAACACTACAAACTGGTGGTGTGTAAAGAACAAGAATGTACTGCTCACAGTTGTGGAGGCTGGGAAGTCGAAAACCAGGGCCTGGTTTTCTTCCTGGTTCAGGGGCAGCTGGTCCTCACCTGGTGAAGGCGAGAGGGAGCTCTGTGGGGTTTCTTTCACAAGGGGGTTCATGAGGGCTCACCCCTTACGACCTAATCACCTCCCAAAGGCCTGACCTTATCATATCCCCACTTTGGGGATTAGGATTCAACATACGAATTTTGGGGGAACATAAGCAGTCTGTAGCATTGGTTAGTATAGTATGGGCACAATAAAGGATGGCTACTATTTGAACATGAGTTCAGTGGACACTCAAGTAGTGCGAATAACCATGTATTTTATTCTATAGCTTAAAAAACTGATCATTGTCATCTCCTCATCTATCAGAATATCAGAGGGACTTAAAGCTAGGCTGTTAGGCTGCCTAACAGAAGTAGTGAGTGTCTGAACTGGGAATCTATACTCTATCCAGTTCAACTCTTTCACCTAACAAACGGGAAAACAGAGGTTCAGCGAGTCTGTGAAACTTGCCCCGAGACAGACAGCACTTTGGGCTGAGCCTAGTGTAAATCAGGGTTCTTTGCATTAACACAAACATCTCTTCCATTTGTGTGGCCCTTCACAATTCACGAGGAGCTTCCACAAGCTTATAAAGATGGCTCCCCGCCCCCCGCCCTGGTCTTTGGGTGATTTTTTGCATTTTCAGACCTGTGTTGCAGCAGCTGATTCTATATTGACCCTAACATTTAAAAAAGAGATTTAAATACACACATATACACATACTTAAATGTGTGTGTATACACATATATATGCATGTATGGGACAAACAGCACCATATCTTCGAGTTACCCCTTGCAGGCTACACACACCCTGGCAGACACAGAGCACGAAGAAAGAATAGTCTTCAGTTTGAGAATTCCCAAGCTGCCATTGACACTTCAATAGAAACAGGCTTAGAAGTGTTTATGTTTTCAAGAGGTGTGGGAACATCTCTAGGCTCCTGTTTAATGAGTCTCATTTTGAGACAGAATGGTGAGATCGGCCACTCTTCATGCAGCTTTTCAGCAAGTCCTTCAAAGAATGAATAGTGAGCCCATTTATTTCTGCTCTCAGAATGTTTCCTTCTTATTCTTTTTCTCTGTTGCAAGGTTATATTTAAAGGTATGGGTTTATAGGCATTATAAAGATACGGGATATCCTGTGAGAGAGGAACTGAGGCAATAAATCCAAAATCACTTTGAAAACTAAAAATCTGGAGGCAGGGGCAGAGTGGGAGGTGATGCATTCTCTCCCCAGAGCTGTCACACACAAAGCAACTGTCCTCAAAAGCGGGAATGGAACAACCTAGACATTCAGCTGCAGAAGGAAGCTGGGGTCTTGGCTTTATAGTTTTCAGTGTCTTTAGAATTGGGCGGGGCGTCAAGTGTCTTTTCCAGAATAGGCCAGAGAAGATAAGTCCAATTTGGTTTTCAAGGCTTTAGTCATTTCTGTGGCCAGCAGGTCATGGAGGGACACACCGTCATGGGAGTACACCCAGTTCTTCCCAGTCCAGTTGTAGCGCTTGGGTCCACTGCAAAAGACAAAACACACATCACAGTGTGTCCGGAGGACAGCCCTTTAGGAGAAAGACTGGTTCCACAGACGTTGCCACCAAACAACTGGAGTGAGACTCCAGAAAGTAATACTCAGTAAGGTATATATTTGACTCCTTGTCTTAGGGTCTTTCTATTTAAGAACAGTTACACAGTTCACCTTCTGGAATGATTCACAGAATAATTCTCAAGAACTCAAACCATCTGAACTCTAGTGATGAGTGTCTGGGGACCGCTCTCTGATCTGTTGCTTTTCCTGACTCATACATGACACCTGCTACATCAGAGCGGTGCTTTGAGAAGTCTGATCATTCTTATACCATTGAGATGCTTTGTCCCTTGCCCATATTATTATCATTTATCTATATTCATAATGTTGGTACAACCACTACCTCTACCTAGCTGCAGAACATCTCATCACTGCAAAACATAACTCTGTACCCACTGAACAGTTTCCTGTTCCCTCCTCTCCCCCGCTCCCTCCCAGCCCCTGGCAACCACCTCTATAATCATTAAAAAATTCAACTTTAAATCCCTGCAAGTCTGATGAGCTAGTTCTGTCACCTCAAGCTCATCACGGGAACCAGAGTGGTGCATGCACCTTGTGCTGGGACTGGTATGCTGTGTGGAGATGGGTGGAGTTGGGCTTGGCCCGTCTTGTCGTTCAGTTGTACACTACTTGTGCCCATTAGTTTCACCTCCTCTCAGCCTGGCAGAGGGGCGGCCGTGCCAGCAGATAATGAGGTAACCAATGAGCACTTGAAGAAGGTGGGCACAGAGGACAATGGGAGCCCAGGAGAAGGGGCACCTGTGCGCTTACGGAGAGATTCTCCAAAGTCCAAGAATGGGAGGAGTTTGCCAGGATGGAGGGAAGCTTGGGAGTATATCTTCTGGGGTATGAAAACATCAAGAATTTGCCCGGCTGGTGTGGTTCAGTGGACTGCACACTGGTCTGCAAACTGAAAAGTTGGCAGTTCGATTATGGTTAGGGACATGCCTGAGTTGCAGGGCAGGTGCCCAGCTGGGCATGTGCGAGAGGCAATCAATTGACATTTCTCCTGTACATCAATATTTCTCTCCCTCTTTCTCCTTCCCTTCCCCTCTTTCTGCAAATAAATAAAATCTTAAAGCAAAACAAAAATAAATCAAGGGTTTCTGTATTATCAACCAAATGCTGGGGTCTGAACATTTTCCTAACAATGGAGATAGAGGGTCAAACCAGGACGGAGGCCTTTGCTTCACGTGCACAGACTGCGGAACACAAACTGTCCGGGCCACATAAAAAGGCTAACGATCCAGACCAAATCCGGAGCACATCCCCTTGGCCCTGGGCTCCGAGATGTGCTACGGGCAGAGTGTGAGGAAGCACCCGGCCCCTCCACTGTTCCAGGCCCAGCCGCCCAGGGTTGCATCCAGACAACTCCTTCATTCTGTCCTACGGCCTCCCCAGGGGGGCAAGGTGGCCGGGAAAGGCCACTCTTTCCACAGGACTGGAAAAGTTGTCAACTGAGAAAGAAACAACCGCCCCTTACCTAAATTCTCACAAATGCAGTCTGATAAAAGATGAATTTGGACCAATGTGAAAAATAGAGTGGGAAATAAAATTTTCGTAAGAACATAGTATCTGTGATAGAAAATGGCTCCATGGCAGACTTTCTCTCCAGATTCCCATTATAAATTACAGATTTAAAAAAAGGAATTTATTATTATCCAGAAGTAAATGCTTCTACACATGCCTGTGGTAGGATCATATTGCTGGTGGGTGTGTCCAAACACGAAAAAGACTTTCCCAGTCTCCAAACACAGCAGGGAATTCTTTTAGTGGAGCCGTCACAGTTGGTTCTGGTGCCCTGCCCGGTATTCACAAAGCCACCAATCTGCAAAGCTGATGAAAGCTGACGGCCCGACTTGAGCGGATCCACCCAGTTTCTCCTACTGGTTCCCCTGGAGACGAAGGGTAAGGACGTCCTGCACTCAAGCATGGCCACGGTGAGGGTTAGGGCAGCTGTCTGAGGGCAAAGAGAACTGGCCCACACAGGGTAAAACACCTCCACTTCAAATACACTGAGTCTAAAAAGCAATCACTTTGTGAATAAGGACCTTGCTAGAAATGAGTGATTTCTGGAGTTGTTTTGTTGAATTGTAACACAGTCCCCAGTGAGGCCAGAATGAAGGAGGCACAATGCTTAATTGACAAATAGTATAATATTAACCGCCTGAAAATGAGATCAAGGCTGGGGAAGGGGAAAAGTTAACTTTAAAAAAAATGCAAACCCAATTAGGCTTTCAAAGAATTCTCTGTCTAGTTATATTTGTGCCTTTCCCAATTCACAGTCCATAGGTTCTCTTTGGGAAGTGCTAGTGAATGACCCACAAAGGCTGGTCCGAGAGTGCTTTGTGGGCAGCTCCCTTTTACTGTTCTATAACCACTTCAACAGCAGCCAGAAGGATGAAGGACCCTCTTTCCCCGCATGTTCTCAGGCCTTGGGATGCAGCACAGCCATCTCCAACACAATTTTTTATTCCACTAGATGAAAAGCACATCAGTGGCAAAGTCATGAGGGATTAAATGCCTGGAACAGCAGCTTAAAACTCCCTCCCACCTCCACAGAGAACACAGCCCAATTCTGCAAATGGAATTCAATTAACCTTTAACTGAGATGCTCAAAACAAACTGGAGGTCAAATTTTAACTTGCTTTGAAGACAAAGTGCAGCTTGTTCAGGTGCTGCAATATGAAGAGTGACTTTTTAAAAGGCAGGGCAATGATTCAATAGAGAAAAACTGTCTAGGCCGGGTTCTGCAAAATTATTAACTTTTCACTTCAGAGCTTGTTAACAGCCCAGTATCTGCTTAGAGCAGCCAAAGGATCACATAACCAAAATAAACTTTCCTGCTGAGAATGAGACAGGGTCAAACATCAAGGAAGGTCCATTTGCATAGACACTGACATTTGAGGGGACAGTTCTTAAATGGTCCGTAATGCCATGTTTCAAAGAAGCTTAACAATGAGAGATTTTGACCTTGGAACATACCTGGATGGCGAAGACAACCAGATTTGCTTGTTTGGGGTCTGCTTGTTGATCACGTAGGTTCCTAGATCTCCACCCAGTTTAATTGTTAAAACACCACTCTAGGGGATCAGGTGAGGAAAATAAAATACTAGGTTATCACTCTGTCATAACTGCTTCATGTTTTGTTACATCTCAACTCTATGCCTTCATACAAGTACACAATATATATCATAAAGAAATGTCTTTAATTTAGTGTTTAGAAATAGATCTTGCAGAAAGAACACTGTTTTCGGCATGAGACTACGGTTAATCATGTGTATCTCATACTGTTTCTCATTCCCCATGAGTTCTGTGAGGCAAAAATAACCATTCTTCCTCCCTTGAGATGAGGAAACAGAGGCACATGGTGCTGAGGGGCTTGTCTGAGGTATCACAGCAGGCAAGTAGGAAGACCTGCATCCTGATCGCTCCCTTGTCTGCCCACTGCCAGCCAGAATTACTAGAGGGTGTTAAAAAGAACTCAGATACCAATTCTCCTGGAGTACCAAGTCAGCCCAAACATGGGACAAGACAAGTTCATTACCAAAAACAGGAAAAAAGGTAGGAAAGAAGGAAGTAATCAAACCATCTGCTTTGCTTGTCTGAGCTGAGCAGCAGCCTCTGCTCCGCTGGTAGAAGGCAGACACTCCAGACTAGGGTTTTTGTTTCCGGACCCTTCCCACACATCTCATAAGCTTCTCAGGCACTCCTCTCCAGCTTTATTTTCCTCCACAGGAGCCGAGAATTCTTCAAAAGACCAGTTGGTCCAACTTTGCTTGATATATGAATAAATGCTCATTTAAATTTGAACACACCCTTTCAACAAAGGAGCCCTTTAGTTCCCAGGCCTGAGGTTCCTTTAGAATGTGCAGGATAGATATTAAAGAAACAGCTACTCCACCAAGTGCCCTTGAATGGCGCCGGTGGACAGGGGAACCGTTCGCTGTCTCCCGTCCCTGCATCGCCTGCAGAGACAGACGGCATCCTTTCTCTGTGCCTTCTAGAGTCTGTCCAACCAAGGGGCCCTGAATGGTTCTTACATTTTGTGTTTGGTTCACGAACACAAAGAGCTATTGAAAAGATGGAGAAAGTAGCAGTAATAACACATCCTGATAGGAAGGAAATGGAAAGGATGCTGTTGAATTATTTTCTAATAACTTTTTTTCTGATTAAAAACAGGGAAATTATAGAGACATTGGGAATACAGGTGATATAAATGTGTACCCTCCATTACTGTTAGCACCTTGAGAAGAGAGTTGTCTGTTCACTCTAGCATTTTCAGTGTCTAGCACATCCATTCTTCAGGTGCAGTGCTGGATGGATACAACATCCATCTGTGATTGAATTCATGAGAGGATGATGATCGGGTATTGTGGTAACTTGTATGAAAGTTGGTGGCAAGGCTATGCAAGGCAGAAATTCTCCACACTCACATTCCCCACCCCTGCTTCCTGTTCATTGCGTGGAATTCGATTTTTTTCCCCTATGGAGCTTGAAGCTGGTTCCAAAGAAAAGTGGCAAGAGCAGGAAGGAAATGAGCTGCCTTACTGGTTCACCAGGGGTTCTTACTGTTTACAGAACAGTCTATAATGGACCAGATGACAAGGGCGTTTGCTCATTACTACTATTCCTCATGCAGCAATCTGAATCTATTTTGGGAGCGTGGGCAGACTTAAACGCAGGGCGTGAGTGGTGGTGGTGAGAGGATTAGAGACAGCCAAAACATTTAGCAGCTGCTGAGTCATGGGCACTAATCAATCAGAACAGACCCTGGCCACAGCTGCTGAGGTTTATTAATTCCCACTCATCAATATCAGCACTACACAGGTGGAAGGAAAAAATAGCAATTTCTGTTGTCAACAACTGATTTACAGAAATAGACATATATGGAGTAGCTCATTAAGTTAGGGGCTTCATGTATTGCACTGGCCAAAAAGTTACATTTTTTTCTGTACAATAGCTCTAGTAGTGCCTAGTTGTCTTTTAACTTCATTTGAAACAATTGAAGTTAACAATACAATTTTAACAATACAATTGTTAAATTGTATTGTGATAGCTGTCATATTAATGTGCATTAAAAAATGTCAAAATTGAATTTTTGTGTAGCCATTTTACTATTGAGGATGAAGAAGATACGCAACATTTTTGGCATATTATGCTTTATTACTTCAAGAAAAGGTAAAAATGCAACTGAAAATGCAAGAAAAGATTTGTGCAGTGTATGGAGAAGGTGCTGTGACTGACTGAATGTGTCAAAAGTGGTTTGCAAAGTTTCTTGGTACTGCTGACATTCTGGCCAAATCTTTGCTGTGGGGCTGTCTTATCTTTGCAAGATATTTAGCAGCACCCCTGGCCTCTACCCACTAGAAGCCAATAGGAGGAGATAGCTGACAAACTCAAAATATTCAAATCCATAAAGTTATTGGTGAAAATGAAAAATGTCTTTCATTTTATGATTAAAAGATAACAGACTTTTGGGCCAATCCAATATATGTGGTTTCCCACACTCCTAAAACAGACACCATCTCACCCTTAAGCAATAATAATAATAAATATGAAGCAAGTATCCATAATCTGAGACCCAGAGGTGGTCTTCAGGTCTACAAACAGCCCTAACGCTGAAACTAGGCAGACCGGTGTGTGACGTTTTTCTCAGGAGAGGGTCGGAGCAGTCAGATTCTTACAGGGGTTTCTGACCTCAAAAGGTTAAAAAACCTAAGCTGTACAGCAGTAATGCACCAACAACGCAGTTCATGAAGAACATGGCAACAAGCAAATTCTCATTAAAAAAAAAAAAAGAAAGAACAAATGCGTTCTTGGGTGTATCTGGGTTAGACAACTTGGTCAATAGCAAGTTGGCAAAGTATCTATAAATGCTGAGTAGTACCAATGACAGTGTGTTTTAGAAAAATTACATGGGCCCTACTTCACTTAATAGTGACTCAACATTTATTACTGGGTGGCGTTCCTCCAGGCACTGGGGTACCAAGAATGAACAGTGTTCCTACTGCCAAGGAAGTCAGCCTAGTCATGGGAACTGATGTGTAAGCAGACAATGAGAATACAGAGTGACCAGTGCTCCACGGAGTCATGCTCAGAGTACTGGGTGAGGAAGGACCAGTGGTGTCTGCCTGGAACACCCAGGAGGGCTTCACAAAGGAGGTGACATCCAACTGGACATTTAGGGGTTCAGAACAGGCTACCCCAAAATGTGCCATTTTGGCATGTAAATTGTTTTGAACTGAAGGCAACTGACCCTGTGGCCCCAAGAAACTTTTACTTTTCCCTTAAATGATTTACATTTGGGGCTTTTACCATAATAGTAGTTATTACCAGAAATAACTTTTTATGACTTAGCTATATGGCAGGGCAAACTTCTAATTACTAAACATTTGCTCTTATCATCCTGCAATGACCTTCCTCCCCTCTGAAGCCCCAACACGCCTTGCCTCATTTTAGCTCAGAGAGCCATGCACGCCTCACTTTAACTGTCTGTCCTTGAATCTTTTATGTATGGGGGTCTGTGACTTGCTCATATGTGTGGGGTTCCCATGCATATGTTATGTAATTAAATTTGGTTATTTCCTCTTGTTAATCTGCCTTATGTGGATTTATTAGACCAGCTGAAAGAACCTAGGAGGGCAGGGTAAAATTTCTTTCTCCGCCAGAACCCTGAGAGCAGGGAGAGACTGTATTCCAAGAAAGCTCAAGCAATAGTGTTACGGGTGTTCTATTGCCTATAATGTACTTCAACTGATTTATCTTATATGTAAAATATGTTCATTAGCTCCTGAAAGACCAATCAGAAATTCACACACTAGGGTAGTTAGCATTTCAAAGTATTTAATCAGAAATCCTAACTATAGAGGCAGCTGCTCCATTCCTTCAGATTTCTACACCTACATTACAGGATTTCCTGATTAGCACATAATTTGCTAGAGGTAATTTTTTTGCTGGTGAGTAGAATGATACTCGAGGTATATGGACTGGCTAGGAAAAACAGGTGCCTCTTCCCTTGTAGGCGCAGGTTACACTGAGTCACCGGGATCTGGAAAGCCCAGCAGCTGAGTCACTCTTGAAAGAGACACAGAAGGGAGGACTGAATAAGGTCCTGTGACCACCACTGAGCAGAAGCTTTTGTTGCTGGATTCAATGAGGTCAACAGGATCCGGCTGCTAGAATACTGGCACATTTGCTTCCAGTGAAACATTTATGCAAAGTACTTGGGCCAAGGTGGAGCTTCACCGATCCGACAAGAACAGGGGGGTGTGACTGTTTTTGTGACATACTAATAAATGTTTGCATGTGTGACAGGGTTTAGCCTGGGACTTGGTTTTTCTCCAGCAACAGCCCTTGGTAGCTACAGGAGGAGGGGATTGGTAACTTCCCCATCTCTAATCACCCCACAGATGGTGGGGTTGGCCAGGCCAGTTTGTAACGGTTCCCAGGCGGCTCTGCCCTCTGAGACTGTCTGCACAGGCACTTCTAAAACCCTGCCTGGGCACTGCTGCATTTCCTGCTGCTGAGAGTAGTCATTAAAACCACCTGGAAGGCATTCATTCCCTTCTTGCCCTGCTGCCTCTATGTTTACCAAGTCCCTCACTCTCCTTACAACCAAGCTTGACACCTCCGAGACTTTGCTGGCTGCTCCACATGAGGGAGTCCCTTCTCTATCCAGTGCCCCAACAGCCAGATCCAACAGTATCTCTATCACTTTAGCGTGACAGCTGGTTTTCCTAAATAATTCCATGGTCTAACCCAAAATGCAAACTTCATGACATTTCCTGGTATTAATTAATTGCTGTCAGAGGATTACGCTCTGAAGGGGATTACTCCCAATGGCAAAAAAGAACTGCTCCCGAAGGCCTAAGCAGTAATTCTAAACCCAAAGGCAGGCCTTTGCTAAAGTCTGCCACCTGGTGGCCGGCAGCTACCAACCAGCACTCTCTGGGCTTCCACCATCTGGGGCTCAAGTTCCATCCAGCCCTGAAGTTCTCACCCAAGCTGCCTATTAGGATCAACTGGAGAGGGGATTTTAAAACTTTAAAACCCCAAATGCCTTGTCTGGGCCACACCCCAGACCCACTGAATAAAAACTCCTAGGGGTGGGATGCAGCAACGCACATTAAATCTCAGGTGACTTTTAAAACATACGCTTCCTATGAATGCCCCCTGACCTACTGTACGGGAATCTCCCAGGAGGGGGGCCCATGTCAGTGCTGTCTGGGTATTTCTCAGGCAATATCTACCCTGCTCAGAACTAGTGGTCTAGTTCAGTGTTCCACACATCTGCCCGAGGAGACAAACACACACCCAGTCCTGTTCTCATTTATCTACACGGGCACTGAGCGAAGCTGGAGAATCTGTACTTTTAAGCAAAAATGAGGATCAAAGAGGCCGAGTGACCTGCCCCAGGTCCCAAGCCTGGTGCAGCAGGGCTGGAACGTGAACCCTAGTCTTCTGGTCTCACCCTTAACCACAGGCTCCTGGATGCTTACCTCTGCGAGAGGGGAATTCTTTATTTTAGTGAGCTAAAATTCTTAGGGAGGAAACAGTAAAAAGAAGTAAGTGAAGAGGTACCCCAAAGGAGACATCATAGTCTTCGAATGTGTAAGGCTTGTCTGCAAGGTCTTCAAAAAACTCTGCCAAGGAGTCCAGGGTCTCCTCTGCTAGTCTTTCGTAGGTGGCCTCATCGAGGGAGCTGCGGGGCAACAAAACCACCCAAAACATGCATTCACCAAATGTTCCATTTCACTGATGTCAAAACACCACATTTATTTGTTTAGATTTATAAAATTGATGGAAAGTAGCTAACATGTACAGGGTAAACATTAAACATCATGTACAAGGGCTAACAGACAAGTAATAAGCTTTTCTTCCCAAATAGGCAGCCCCCATCCTCAGAGTCAACTGTGATGGCAGTCTCTTCTGTTTCTAAAAATTTTATGTTCTTTTAAATATGCAAATGAAGCACATTTGGCCCTGGCTCAGTAGCTCAGTTGGTTAGATCTCTGTCCTAATGTGCCAAGGTTGCTGGTTCCATCCCTGGTCAGGGCACATACCAGAAGCAACCAATGAATGCATCAATAAGTGCAGCAAATTGATGTTTCTCTCTCTCTAAAATCAATCAATAAATAAGAAAATTAAAAAGCAAAACAAACGAGGCACAATACAGTTCTCACAAATACATCTTGAACATTTTTCCATATTAACACATATGGATTTTCATATTTCATGTTATTTACTCAACCAGTCCCCTTTAGCTGGAGGTTGAGGTTTCCACTGCTTTTATTATTAAAATTTATGTCTGACAGACCACAAAGTGGGATAATATTTGCATTACATACATCTGAAAAGGACTTATTTCTAGAATATATAAAGAACTCGACAAATCAGTAAGAAAAAAACCCAACAGAAACATGGGTAAAAGACTTGAACAACCTCATTAAAAAAAAAGAGAGATCCTAGTGGTCAATGAATGTATGAAAAGGTGCACAACTTGTTAATCTTCAGAAAAATAGAACTTAAAAAATCACAATGAGATACCTCCAGGCTGGTTAAAGTAAAAGAGACAGATAGTATCAAAAGTTTGCCTACTAAGTGAAGCAACAAGAGCTTTCAGATACTGGTTGCTGATAGGCCAGTAAATGGAACAATCACTGGAAAACTGTTGGGAGTAGCTACTAAAGTTGATGACATTCACAAGTCATCAGTTCCAGTCCTGGATGTATCCAACAGAAGTGCATACCAGACTTCCAGTCAAGATGGCAGCATAGGTAAACACAGCTCAACCACATCAATCACAACCACATCAAAAATACAACTAAATTATAGAACAACCATCACTCAGAACCGTCAGAAATCAGGTTGAATGGAAGTGTGGCAGCTATGGAATTAAAGAAACCACATCCATCCAGACTGCTAGGAGGGGTGGAGACACACTATGGGCTGGTCCCACACACATATGGTGAATAAAATTCAGGAGGGACATCTTGGGAGTGAGGAGTCCCTGCCCGACACCCAGGATTCTAGTGACAGGTTGATAAGTCCCCATAACATCTGGCTATAAACACCAGTGGAGACTCAGTGGGTAGAAGAAAATTCTGGAGTCCCAAGCAGTTCCTCTTAAAGAACCCACACACACAGACTCGTCTACTCAGACTCGTCTCCTCAGACTCACTCCCTCTGAGCTCCAGCACAGGAACAGCAGCTTGGAAGGCACCCTGACATATAGGGAGGAAGTGAGGGGTCTGGCATTAAGGCGAGAGCTAGGGCACAGCTTTCTCCCAGACAGAAAGGCCACTGTTCCTTTTATGAACCCTTCCCCCACTGAGCTACAGAGCCGCAGGTGGGTGCCATATCTGAGACTCCATAAACCTGGCTAACATGATTTGCCTCATCTTGGAGATACCCTGAGGTTCTGTACCACCCAAGCCGTTAAAAGACTTTTCCATATGAATGGATGGTTTGGCTCATGCTGCACAATTTCCTAAGTCCTCTCAAACAAGAAACAGCCATCTCAGTGAGCCCCCAGCCCCTGTATCTCTTACTAAGTGGCCCCAGGCATGGCACTAACAGCAGCCAGACTAGATTCACGGTTTGGCCTTGCCTGGGAATCTCCAAGCCCAGCACAAGTAGCAACCATCTCAGGTTGCTGTACAGCCAAGGCAGGGTGGCCTCGAGCAAAACAAAGGTGGGAGCTGACCTTGGACTGCACCATCTGGAAATGCAGAGCCTGCAAACGCAGAGCCTGCACACCCAGTGGACAGCTACAGACCACGTCAGAACAGTACCACCCTGCCCCTACACAGCTGATCCTCACAGAGAATAGAGGCTGGCGGTCACTGGCTACAGCCAATCCTTGCAGCTGATTGGCCTGGGTAAATCCCTCCCACTGATCTGCCAACAACAAAAAGGCTCAACTACAAGAGGAGGGTGTACTCAGCCCACATGAAGGGACACCTTGAATACCCAGTTTGGGTGATAGGGGAGGCTGTGCCTGCAGGACACCTACTACATTAGGCCACACTGCCAACACAGGGAGTCAAAGCAGCTCTACCTAATACATAGAACAAACAGAAGGAGGTTGCCAAGATGAGGAGACAAAGAAACATGGCCCAAATGAAAGGACAGATGAAAACCCCAGAAAAACAGCTGAATGAAATGGAGATTAGCAATCTATCAGATGTGGAATTGAAGACACTGATTATAAGGATGCTCAAGGAACTTAGTGAGGACCTCAGCAGCATAAAAAAGATTCAGTCAGAAATGAAGGATGCACTGACTGAAATAAAGAGCAATGCACAGGGAAACAACAAGAGAGTGGATAAAGCCAAGATTCAAATAAATGATATGGAACATAAGGAAGCAACAAACAAACAAACAAACAAACAAAAACCAATCAGAACAACAAGAAAAAAGAATCCAAAAAAATGAGGACAGTATAAGCAGCTTCTGGGACAACTTCAAGAGGACCAACATTTGCATCATAGGGGTACCAAAAGGAGAGGAGAAAGAGCAAGAAATTGGAAATCTATCTGAAAAAATGATGAAAGAAAACTCCCCTAATTTGGGGAAGGAAATAAACATGCAAGTCCAGGAAGCACAGAGTCCCACACAAGATGGATGCAAAGAGGCCCACTCATAATTCAAATGCCAAAGGTTAAAGATAAAGAGAGAATCTTAAAAGCAGCAAGAGAAAAGAAGTTAGTTACTTACAAAGGAGTCCTCATAAGATTGTCAGCTAATTTCTCAAAAGAAACCTTGCAGGCTAGAAGAGACTGGCAAGAAATATTCAAAGTCATGAAAAGCAGGGACCTATGGCCAGGACTGCTCTACCCAGCCAAGCTATCATTTAGAATCAGAGGGCAGACAAAGAGCTTTCCAGACAAGAGAAACTAAAGGAGTTCACCATCACCAAACCATATTATATGAAATGTTAAAAGGACTTATTTAAGAAAAGACAAAGATCAAAACTGTAAACAATGAAATGGCAAAAAATAAAAATCTATCAACAACTGAATCTAAAAAACCAACTAAGCAAACAGAAAGGTCAGAGAACCATGGATATAGAGAGGGTTTTGATGGTTGCCAGATGGCAGGGGGGTGTAGGGGGTGTAAGGGTCTTATTTCAGAAAAAGAAGATCATACCTATAAGGGGAATCTAATGAACAAGACAAACAAGAGAGCAAAATAGAACCAGAGACGTGGAAATAAAAAACAAACTGACAGTGGCCAGAGGGGAGGAGGAGAGAGGTAAGTGGGGAGAGAAGAGGAAGGGTCAAGTCAAGGAACATGTACAAAGGACCCATGAACAAGAATAATGCAGGGGAGGACTGAATGTGGGAGAGGGGGGTGGGCAGGGCTGGGGAGAGCAATGAGGGAAAAATGGGGACAATTCTAACTGAAGAACAATAAAACAAATTTTTAAAATTAAAAATTAAAAAAGATCTAAACTATGAACAACAAAATGGCAATAAATACATATCTATTATCAAGTCTAAAAAACAAACTAAGCAAACAGAAGAACAGAGACAGAACCATGGATACAGAAAGTGTTTTGGTGGTTGCCAGATGGGAGGGGCATGTGGGGGAATGGGTGAGAGGTGAGGGGACTAAGAAGTACAAGTAGGTGGTTACAGAACAGCAAGGGGATATAAAGTACAGTATAGGAAATGCAGTAGCCAAAGAACTTATACACATGACCCACAGACATGAACAATGATGGGGGATTGTCTGAGGGAGTGGGGGGTGTTTGGTGGAGGGGGCAGAGGGGGAAAAACTGGAACAACTGTAATAGCATAAGCAATAAAATATAATTAAAAAAAAGATGCATACTTAGCAAAAACAGACTCACAGGTATAAGAACAAAGTGATGGTTGCCAGAGAGGCAGGGATGGGGATGGGCAAAATGAGAAGAAAATTAAGAGATACAAACTTCCAGTTATAAAATACGTAAGTTACAGGGTCATAATGTACAGTACAGGGTGTACAGTTACAACTCTGTAGGGTGACAGATGGGCATTAGAGTTATGGAGGTGATCATTTGGTAAGGTATATAAATGTCGAATCACTATGCTGTACAACTGAGACGCATATTGTGTGTCAACCACACTTTAATTAAAAAAAAATGCATTCCTAGGTTCACCAAAAGACATGCACTATATTAGAATATTCATAGCAGAAGTACTCTATAGCCCCAAACTGAAAACTGCCCGATGTAATGTACCCATATGTAATAATACAACAGATAAATTGTGGTATATTTATACAATAGAATAACATATAGCAAAATAAAAATGCCTATTAACAATATACACAAAAGCTCACGAACATGATGGTGACTGAAAGAAGCCACACACAAACATATTTATATTTAATGATACAGTTTATACAAAGTAACACACCAGGCTACATTAATCCAGTCTATTGGAATCAGAATGGGAGTTACTCTGGGGCAGGGAGGGGTTAATAACTCGAAGTGAGCAGAAGGCTTGCTTTTAGGGGCTGGTAACATTCTGTTTCTTGAGCTATTTTTGAGTTACATGCTATGTTTAGTTTTTGAAAATATATCAAGCTGTACACTTACGAGTTGGAGACATTCCTATATACTATTTTTCAATTTAGAAAAAGTGCTATAAATCCACAGAGACAGAAAGCAGAATAGTGGTTGCCAGGGGCTTGGGGAAGGGAGGGATGGGGAGTGATTATTAATGTGCATGCTGTTTCTCTTGAAATGATGAGAATGTTCTGGAGTTAGTGGTGAAAGTTGCACAACCTGGTGAACAGTCTCAGAACCTCAAAATGGTATATTTTAAACGGTAAACTTTATGATATGTGAATTACGACAATACAAATACTACTCTAGCAGATATCCTTGTATGAGCTTTTGTGTCTCTGTGCAGATACATGTGTAAGTTACAAGATGTAGGTGACAACTCCATCATCTGAGAGTTTCCAGGAGGTGTAAGTAAGGCACCAGTGGCTGCTGGATAGTTCACATGAGACATAAAGGTCTGCAACACAACCACTGAACACCCAGCCCATCACCTGCCTCAAGGGTAAGGTGTGGGGAAGGTTCAGGACTGCTTAGGAGATGGCGAGGGGCCTGGCTGGGTGTGCTGTAGAGAACCTGGAGAAGAGGCTGACATGTGTCCTGAGGAGTGTGGAAACATAAGATACTCCTGACTCAGGTATAAAGTCCAAAGTCAAGAGCTCGGCAGGTGCGACCTGACAGCAGCCAGTTTGGCCATAGTGGAAGTGTACTGTCCTCCTCCTCATGGCAGGACAAAGGCATGCTTCCCGGAGGCCAGAAGTAGGCCCTGAAGAAGAGAACTGGACTTGGGGTATCATGCAGGGGCCCCACTGAACCTAGAGGATCACCTGTAGGGGTGAGGGGACAGCAGCAGAGAGTCTGTGCAGGGAGGAGCTGGAAATGGTGCCACTGAAGCAAAAACCTAACGTAGGCAGCAGCCCGCAGCACTGGCCCAGAGGCTGGGCGCCCTCCAGGACCTGTCTTAGCCTGTTGCCTGGGATGACCTGGAAAGCCAACAGTGTGATTACTGAGCCCATGGTTGTAGGGACAGTTAGAATGCTCCTGTGTATGGGTGGCTCCTTGCTCTCAGTTGGTGCGACATGAACACAGCAAGCCAGGAGAGAACTGGTATGTCTGCAGGGGGGTGGAATGACACTTGGAGGTTAAAGGCTGCACCCAGATGGAAAAGCTAAAGGAGGATGTAAGGCTTTGAACAACACAGGCCTCTTATTAAGCCAAAAAAAAAAAAAAAGGGATCTAATCCTCTTGCTGAAATCAGATTGCGAGCTATGCATGGGGTGAGGATGCAAAAAAATAAGGCAGCCTGGGGCTTCCATCCTCGGAGGAAATTTGGATGTGGACACTGGCCACAGGACCGACTGGGAGTAAAGAGATTAGAAGCCTACTAGGTTTTCGAGAAAACCCTGTAATCAGAGAAAAATGAGTCTGGTCTACAAGAGCCTACTGAAACCTCGAAGACATGACAGCCTTTGAAAGCCCAAAGTGCTCTCAGAGGAAGTGGGCTGCAAAGGCTGCCTGCCCCCAAGGAGGGCACACTTCCCACTGCCTGCCTCCCATGGGGCCAAGGCGGGTAATGGACGAGGAGGAGACTCCTAGGGGGCAGAACTGGGGTTTCAAGGAGGAGCGTGCCCCTCTGCCAGTTGTTCCAGTGCTGCCCAGGGGAACTCCGTCGCTACTACAGGCCAGGGACACATCTCTTTTATGAATGCAAGTTGTGGGAGTAGTTAACTTGCCTTGCCCCATCTGTGTGTGTGGGTCTATGGGTGTTTATTTGTGGGAGTTTGGGAGTGTGTAAGTTAGAGAAGCCATTCCCAGATGTGAGGGAGAGGACCATTATGGCACCTGGAAATCTTGGCCTTTGAGGTGAATGAGTGACCACGTGGGCTGTGGTTGCAGCCTTGGGGCTGAAGGCAGCGTGTGTGGTGTGTGGAAGGAGGGGCCGTGCAGGTATCAGTGGTCGAGGGTAGACCGGAGCAGTGCTTGGCAGCTTTCCACCAGAACCTATCGCCTCCTCTTCCAGGGCAGCTGCTGGACCACATATCCCAGCCTCCCCGGCAGCCAGCTGGGGCCAGGGAACCAAGTCCTTTCTTCTAGAATGTGAGCGAAAAGTGCCACTTCCAGGCCTTCCATGCTCTTGTACCTTTCTGTGGAATAGAACCTAGACAGGACCACCTGGCCTTGACCATGCGGAGCACAGTAAAGCACTGGCAGGTGACAGGAAGGTGGAGGGAGGCTTGCTCCCTGAATCATTTCACAGAGGCCCAGACTGTCCAGGGACACAACCACGCCTGGTCTGGGCCATTACAGTCTGGACCTATTTGCTACAGAAGCTTGGCTTACTCTAACTACTAAGGTATCAAAGAGAAAAATAATAAAACTCTGGAAACAAGCTACATGTCCACCAACAGGGGATGGGTTCAATTAATTATGGTACAACCATAAAATTTAATACTATTTCATTAAAAATAACATGGTCGCTGGTGATGTGGAAAGATGTTTATGAGTGATGCTGCTAAGGAAGTAAACAGGTTCTGTAAAAGATAACAGAAATGTATGCACCTGTGTATATGTCGGAGCGAGAGAGAGATCTGATGTGGAAGGTGTTTGCCTTACCCTGGGTTGCCCAAAGTTCCTGTTGTTCTCAAGTTCATCAAACAGACATTTTGCTTTTTCACATTCAGCATCTGGGTGGGGCAATGGAGGCTCAAACTCTAAAAGCCAAAGTTAATAAGAACATTATGATTTTTCAGTATATTATAGCCCACTAATGAAAGTTTAAACATCACCATTTTTTACATTACAGAGTAGCCATGTTAGAGTTTTCCAAGAGTATTTCTTAGTAATGTTTTCACCTTCTTGTAATGTATTACATGGAATTCTCCCAGTCTCTAAGCCAGTGCTGTCCAGTATAGTAGCCACCAGCCACATGCAGCATTTAAATGTAAACGTATTGCACTAAAATAAAATTTAAAAAGTCAGTTCCTTAGTTGCATTGGCCACATTTCAAGTGTCCTGTGGTCTCATTGGCTAGTGACACAGACATAGAACAAACCCGTCATCACAGGAGGTTCTAGGCTGTAAGCACAGGCGACGCTGGGAAGCATCAGTAATGCTCCTAGCTTTTGACTAAAACCAAGCAACAACACATAGCAAGAGGCAGCAGTGGGCTGCCGTCCAGAAGAGAGGTCAGGCTGCGGACAGCTGTCTGACAGATCTGATTAGTTAACATGATCTGCAGGAGACAATGTGACCTATTGATTTCTTTAATACATAACTGCTGAGTGCCCTGACCTACTGACCAGCTGAAGGGACAGAGAAAATAACGGGGGTGGGGGTGGCAGGGGAAGTGAGTGGAGAGCTAGAGAAGGGGACCTCGCAGAGGGATCTACCCAAGTGCACGAGGGCACGGAGCCTGTGAAGGAAGAGAAAAGCTGGAGTGGAGATAGCAAGGGAGGTGAGAGAGGGGCGAGGGCTACAGGGCCTCAGTTGTACTTAATCCTGGGGAGGCACCGAAGGGCTGTAAGAAGTTGGTGATATTATTTACATTCTCCAAAGGTCACTCTGGTTGCCCTTAACGGGTCAGAGGCTGTCAGTTTTGGCTCTTGAGCCATCATCAGGCCCAAGACAGAAGGCATGGGGTTGAGAGGGGGTGCAGAGCGCAGGCGACAAGTCTAAAAAGGTTGGCTCTGAAGCAGAAGTCAGAGCAGCCGAGGTAACCGCAGTTACACCTACAACACAAGTTAGACTTCACTCTCTGCTGGGCATTGTTCTCAGTCTTTACAGAAACAAACACGGTCAGACCGCCGCCTCTCGCAAGACACCCGGGAGCCGGAGCGGGCGCGCGTGCGCGGAGCGTCACCGGTTGCGTGATCTTCCGCCGTCCGCGCGCGCGGCCCCGCGGTGCCAGGTGGGTACTCACTGCATGGCTGGTCACGCAGGCCCCGGCGGTCCCGGAGCGCAGGTCTCCGCGGCTGCTGAGTGGGATGTTCTTCGCCGGCCGTGAGGTCCCAGCTCGGATTTGGGCCAGGCGAGGTAGCGCAGAGCGGGGTAGGAGGCTGGCAGCCCAGCGGCGTCTGAGCGTCCACATCCTCCGCGCGTTCTGCGGCCGCTCCGCCCTCCCGCCCGGGGACGCCGCAGCGACACCTGGTGGCCGGGGGCTGCAGGCGCCGCGGCTCAGCTCAGAGCTCAGGGCCTCGCTTCTGTAGGCTGTGAGAAACGGTCAGAGGTTAGACCTCAGAGCTGCCCAGCTTTGCATTTTTTGTGTGTTTAACAAAAATGGAGAGACCACTTTGTTCAAAGCACGGATCTCCCTCTTGGGCAACATAGTGAATGAGTAACCAAGGTTCCTGGCTGCGGAGACCTTATCCTAGTGACCCATTGCTGCAGGAATTCTACAGGAAGGATTTGGGAGCGCAGTCTTCCTGGGAACTGGCAGGGTTCAGGTCTTAAAGCTGCTTGGCGGCCAGTACAGGTTATAACAGTTAATTAGAGTATGCACACAGAACACGGACTGCCTGGTTTATATCCTCACACTGCGTACTTGCTAGCCTCTGTAATACGGCTTTCACAAAAGTTTCTATTTCATAGGATTGTAAAGATAAAATGAATCCATGTAACTTTTTGTTGGACAGGCCCTAGATTCTAATAAGTGCACAGTATTAATACATTTTATTTATTTTGTATTGTTATTCTATTACAGTTGTCCCAATATTTCTCCCTTTTGCCCTCCTCCACCCATCCCAGTCCCCCACCCCCACTGAAATTGTCAGTCCAGGGTTCTTGGGCAGTAAATGTTACCAGGGATTTCGGCTCCTTCTAGCTCATGGCTCTATTAGCTGGGGTGTGGCCCTAGTTCCCATGGCCCAAAATAGTTGCTAGTATTTTGGCCATCACACATGTATTCTAGGCACCAGTGTGGAGGGAATGGTGTACTCTCCCTTTAAAAGACACAATTTTGAAATGTCAACTTAATACTTTCACTTGCACCTCATAGTCCAGAACTTAATCATGTGACCCTATCTACCTGCAGATAGAGTCATTTAGCTGAGCAGCCAATGTGTCCAAATAAAATTCGAAAGTTGTATTGTTAAAAAACGAGGAGAATGGATATTAGGAGGCATCTAGATATTTTCCCTTTCCAAACTGCACGTAGTTTCTAGAACAAGCAATGTTTTCTTTTTGTTTTGGGTTTTCCCTCATGTTGTTCCTGCGTCTTCCATCTCTTTGCCTGGTATGGAAGATTGGGCTTCCCAAAGAGGGCCACACCAATGTTTATCCTACCGCTCACATGGTCTTTCAGGCTTTGACATTCCTCAGAAGTGATGCTGTGTCACTTCCAATTCTAGGTCAAAAGATACAGGTTTTTGGGGGGAGGAGGACTTCTCTTTCTGGGGATTCTTGCTCAGGTGACCAGTCATCGTATCTTGAGGAAATCCAAGCTGCCCAAACAGAGAGACCGCACAGAGAGGAACTGAGGCTTCTAGCCAACGGCCAGCATCAACCACCAGGTGTGTGAGTGAACTGGTGTTCAGAGGAGTCCAGCCCCAGCTGAAGCCACAGACACCAGGGAACAGAGACACACTGTCACTGCTGTGCCCTGGTTCCAGACCCCTAGACTCTGTGAGCATAAAAGATGTTGGCTTGGATTGAAGCCAGTACAGGGGTGGGCAAAAGTAGGTTTACAATTGTGAGTAGGTGAAACACAGTTTATTCTTGGATTATTATTTATTAATTATTGTGTTATTTTCCATACAAACAACTGTACACCTGCTCTTGCCCACCTGTGTGTGTGTGGGGGGGATCTGTTTCACAGCCGCATCAACAGGAGCACCTGCCTGTCTCCTCCTCCTCCTTCAGTAACTCCGATGGCAGACATGGCCTCTTATAGTGTCTGTTCTGAAACCAACCTCTCTGTCCCCATGACTGTGTCTTAGGCACCCCTTGTGCTTCCAAGTCATCTTACCTGGCTAGTATCGCTAACATGTAATGGATAGTCTGTTGATGATTGAATGAATGAAAGGAAAAAATGAATGATGCTCTTTGTTGGTTTCCTATCTCTTCAGTAGTAGAGACTTTCTTTGCTCACTACCTACAAATAATGGACCTACTGATACTGGCCAATAATGGTTTACAGAGTAACATCTGCGTTGAGATATTTATTTGCGTTTTACTTGGAGTCTCAAAACTTTCAGAAACTTAAGTTCCCAAATTCTCTCTCATTCTTGCTTGGCCCTGGGCTTCAGCTCAGGGCTCTGACTCAGAGCCTAACACTTAATTTGCTGCCAAAAGGTGACTTCAGCTCTGGGCCTAAGCAAGCCCATTATGTTTGCTTGGATTGATTGATACGAGAAATTGCTGGGGATGTTCTCTGACATTTGCTAAGGGCAAATTTTTCTATAATGAGGGATGACAAATAGCGCTTGTCCCAAGAGACTGATTATAGGACCAGAATATGAATCTCAAGATCTTGATGCATAATCTTGACCTTAATATAGATTAAGTTCATAAGATAGTCAGCAAAATTAATCAATTCACAATTCCAAAATGTTTCTGACAATAAACATGAAACCTGTGCATTACTTAATTAATGTGCTAATTATTAAAACTTTCAGTTGCCAGAAAAAAAAAAACGGTTGTTTGGATTTATTTGCTGGAAAAGGTTTTCTGCAGGGACCAAGTATGACAGTGTTTGGTCCCTGATCTGACAGATCAAGAAAACTTCAGGTGAAGGACTCTCACTGCACAAAAATTCTGCATGCAACCTGGTTGATAGGACAAGAGAAAAGGAGCATGGGATAGATCTGAAACTGCGCTTGCAGAGTCATTTTTGTGTTGAATTTGTGTTACTATACCAGTAGTCCTGAAGGAAGCAGTCCAATGCAGCAGAAACTTGTAGACTTGGTGGACTCAGACAGACGTATTTGCAAAGCATGATTTTAAAAAAGTCAAGAACATAATTCTCATACAAATATATGCTGAACATGTATCAAAGATTAATTAATTAGAGAGATGCATGGGCTGAATTGTCCTCCCCCCAAATTCACATGATGAAATCCTAACTTGAGAAGTGCTTCAGAATGTGACAGTGTTTGGAGATGGAGCTTTTAAAGAGGTGATTGAAGTTAAAGGAGGTCATCGAGCTGGGACCCTAATCCAATATAGCTGGTGTGCTTATGAGAAGAGGAAGAGCGGGAGGGGTGCCCATGCACAGAGATAAGATCTCAGGAAGCAGCAGCTAGAGGGCAGCCAACTCAAGGCAAGGAGACGCCTCAGAGGAAACCAGCCTTGCTGACACCTTGGTCTTCGATTTCCAGCCTCCAGCACCCAGTCTGTGGTTGCCCTACGGAAATGTAAGAGGAATCAGGACAAAGGCAACGCTGGTGTCAAAGAGGACGGAAGAGACTGATCTTTATAGTCAGTGATAATGAGAATTCTGGAGTAATATTGCTATGTTAGATCACAACTGGTTAGTTCATGTTTGTATAACTATAACCTTTGGAGTTACCTTCTTAGACAAGAATCATTTGCATCTTAGTTTTCTACAAGTTGACATTCTTGAGGCCTACTTAACAGCAGGTAATAAGTCAAATGTAGTCACATGGCCCTAGAACCAAGTTTCTCAACAGCAGCACTGTGGACATTGTGGACTGGACGACTCTTTGTTGCAGGGGCTGTCACATGCCTGAGATGTTCAGCAGCATCCCTGGCATCTATCCACTAGATGGCAGTAGTACCTGCTTGCCCTTCCAGTTTGGACGCTCAGAAACGTTTACAGACTTAGCCAAATGCCCCCCCTTTTGGGGGGTAGGGGGCGGGCTGAGAGGCGGTGGGGGGAGCAATTGTCCCCACTTGAAAACCACTCCTTCTATTATAACTTTGAATTACATACCCAAAGCCATATTTTTGTCTTACTCCCAAGTTTTAGGTAAATGTTAAGAGTGTTCAAATCCCTGCTCTGCCCCTCGCAGTGTACCCTTTAACCTGAGTTTCAGTTTCTTCATCTGTAAAACTGAGCAAATACACTTTTACTTCAGAGGGTTGCCTGAGGATTAAGTGAAACTATATGTGCAGAACACAGATACTAGAAAACTCAAGTCCCATACTTGGCTCTTGGTTGGCCCTGCTACCTTCTATTAAGAGGTGTGTTCATGTATCTGTGGCCTGGCCGAGTGGATAACCCCTGGGGGCCGCTCAGACAGGAGGACCATAGAACAGGAGGACCATAGACATCCGGGTCTGTGCTTCAGGGGACTACAGGCTGGTTGGGATCAATAAGAAGCCAGGTCCCTGGAGCTGATCTGGGCACCTCCCCTCACCACCTCGCGGAGCAGAAGAGTGGGTGGTCCTCACAGAAGTTAGGTGAAGCAGTGGGGTGGGGTTACCCTCCCTTTACCTTTGGCTTTCACCACGTGCCAGTGCCAGCTCTCACCCCTCGCCCTAACCCGATGCAGCTGTCAACTCCTACTGCTTTCTGCAAGGACTCAGGCCATCCACCTTGCTTTCACCCTCCCCCTCAGGCAATCACAATGCCGGGTATGGGCTGCGACTCCATCTCAAAGTGTAACTGGCATCTTTGTTGCTCTCCTTTTACTTCTCGTTTTCAGAGGTCAGCTTGTTGATCAGCTGAATTGAATTTACACTCGCGCTGTTAAAAGTATTTTGTTCTGCTGTAGGAGTTGAGGGGACCCGGGCTTCTGTGGTCTCCACCTCTTCACTGAAGGAGACGATGGGGTCCCATGCCATCTCTGCAGTCTTCTTGGCTCCCCCTTTTATTACAGCAGTGCCTGCTTGCCTGAGTGGAAGCCATGTGGACCAATATGAGAGGCTCATTATGTGAAGCTATATGAACTGTTAGGGAACTATTCTGTGTGGGTGGTGACTTGCCAGGAAGGCCAAGGGCTGCCCGGTGCAGGAGGGAGGCCCTGGAAGAGGGGGCACCCGGGAGGGCAGGGGAACTGGTCGAGACTCACCAGCACCCTTGGTTCACCCTGAGCAAGAAGACCCTTAATCTTTCTGGACTTCACTTTAAAACTGCAGTCCTGTTTTCCTCACAGATTGTGAGCATCAAGTACTAATTTTTTTTAAGTGCTGGCCAGGAGGCAATCATTTGATATTTCACACTTCTGTCTCTCTCTC